AGATTTTCATGGGGAAGATTCTTTAACCCGCACGACAAAAAAAAATTACGCGCGAAAATCCCTAAGCCGAATTTGCTCCAGGATCGGTGCATCTGGTTTTTCAGAAAACTGAAAAAAAAACTTCCGTCGCAATAGTTTTTAGACCAGCTGCAGGGAGAGATAGATCTACTTTTTTTGGAAGATTCGTCTCATTTGTATCAATTGCACAGTATTGACTCGGTGTTTATTTTGTGTTAAATATTTCAAACTTAAATCCCTCAGCTTTTAATTGACAACGGAATTTTACACCTCAAATAACAAAATATAAGAGACTTCTTATTAAATTGCGATAATCATAATTTATTCTCCAATATAGAGAATAAATTATAATACTATTTATAGCACTATCAAAAGATTCTCTGATAGAATACAAATGAATTTAAATAACAGATTCGAGTTTACCTCGTAAGTAGATCAATAGGCAAACATGCGTGGAATTCTCAAGTATCGCGAACGTCGAGAACGTTTAAGAAACGACCGCCATGGAAAACAAACTGGCCACCCATGGACGATCGGTGTTCCATTATCTTCGGGCTGTCACGGCTTTAGAGGATTACACGTCGATTACGAGGCTCAATTTTAAACTGTCCGTCTCCCTCTCGCCTCGACCCAGCAACCCTTTGCGGGTTACTCCATGGTTTTACAATCGGTCACCCGTGCTGTGACACAACCGACGGCTCGTCGAAGGGGTTGCCTCTTTCCGAAAAGCGGATTACGTTTCTCATTCTGTCTTCTTTCACGTTCCTTTCACGCTCCACTGACCCTAGGTGTCCTACGATCGTTATTGATCGATGGGTTTCGACCTAAAACTGATTTTCATTTAGCAACGTTGGCTGATACATATTTCAAATTTTATTTAGACTACATACTGTTGTTACAGATTTATTATACATTTTACTGAAAAACGTCAGTCATTTGGCGTTGGAAAATATAATTTCTAATGTTATCTCCGAAATAATGATATATTTTATGAAACATTTTTTAGTACTTTCTATTCTCAGAGGATGGCGGAACTTTTTATCCTTAGGGGAGAGGAGAGAAAAATGGTTTTTACGTCTTTCTCCGGCTCTTCATTTTTTTCTTTGCCCTCTGCAACAGTTTCGCACGTCACTGTTTACTACTGGTACAACCCCTTTTGGTATTTCTAGGCGTGGTAGTATTTTTCGAAGGGTGCCAACCAGTTTTTTGAAATGAAATAATGCCAAGAACTTCATGGTTTTGTTCGAAGGCCACTGTTGGTTTCCCTTCTCTGTGCTCTGTAAATTCTGATTCGTTATAGAAAAATCTTATCCCTATTACTTTTCTCTTCATTTTTACGCTATACTCGATTGTATACTAAATTTCAATATCTTCACGCAAAACCGAAATACTTAAAATAGTAGTGAAACACAATTTAAAACCAAATATA